CAGTTTTAGGTTTCTGATTGATTTTTTTTTTCTTTCTAGAGTTTGATGTACCAGTTTGTGTTTTCTAGCCACCTTAGGGATGGGGAAGAGGGGAGGCTTAAAATTGCATATTCATGGAGAAAGTGGCCTTTACAGGAGCCTGTATAATTCTAGATGGGTACCAGGGGACCTCTTGCCCTCTTACATAAACCATAATTCTCACTTTCACATTTATCTGTAAGAAAATAACACTTTGACGGACATGGTGGTGCACACCCTTAATCCCAGCACTCAGGAGGCTGAGACAGGAAGATTGCTTTGAGTTCAAGGCCGGCCGAGGCAACAAAGTGAGTTTAAGGCCTGGCTGAACTGCATGCCCAAACCCATTCCCCCACTAAAAAAGGATAACATTTCCAGGCAGGCGCTTATACCATCGAGCTATATCCCCGGTGAGGATAACATTTCAAAACTGAGATTACAAATGAGAGTTTTTATAATTTAAAAGCTTTTCACAAAGTATAACTACCTAGGGTTATAGAATTAGAAGGTCCTTTCAGTAGCCACTTAGTTTCAAAACCAGCCCAGAATGCGCCTAAATATTCCTAGGCAGTGGGCTCTTACTCTCTATGGTAAAGTAAAATCTGCTTCTCCCCTGCACCTCAGACCCTTTTCCAGCTTGGTCTCCCTCATCTAGGTAAGGTCAGATTTCTAGTTCCCCTTACAAACGCAGAACTCACATGTAATGTGGCTCGCCTGGCCCAGGATAGGCCTATGTTCTGCTTAGCTGTTCTTGCAGGGGGAAACCAGGTCAATATTCAGCTTGTTCTTTTGTCCTCTGCTTATTTTCTAGGTCAAAAAACAAAGCCCAACAATTAAGCACAGCAAATTGAACCTACGCTTTAACCTTTAATCCCTCCTGTCACTCTCCTGAAACCATAGTGAGAGAGGAACAAGCAATCAGAAAGTGAGAAGTCAATTGAATTCTGAGTCCAAAGGTGTGAGGGCCGGGCCCATGGGTCAGAGGAGTGGAGAGCACCTGCCAGGGGACTAAGGAAGAAGAAAGAGGATTTTTGTTGCAAGACCCTGCGGTAGCTCTGGAGTTGGAGGCACCGCACAGGAGATCAGGACAGTTGGGCAGGAGTCTGCGTGAAAGCACTTCCCTGCCAAGAGCCCCTCTCCTGCTGTCTCAGGAGGTGGGAGCTGGAGGCTGAGATGGTGAAGCACGGGCCCGCAGGCAGGCATGGCCCAGGGAGGAGAAGGGGACTACGGCGCAGATGGATGCGGCTTTTGGATCTAGTTTTAGTAGTGAACTTTCTCGCCCAGCATCTAGAGTGTCCACAGCAGGTGTTCCTTTTAAAACTTTGTTCTTTTTGAAACTGCCTAGCTCTGTAACTGCTTCATGGCTCTGTATTTACTTTCTTGCCCCCTGTAACCACGAGAGCATAACCGAACATGCAGGATGCCTGACTGTATCAAGATTGAGAATCGTTAATCCAGTCTTGTAACCCATGATCTCACTGTGCTAGCTAGTCAGAAGAACTGCCAGGCTGTTCTGTCTCGCCTTTGTACCTCCTGCTTATGCATCATATAAAAGCACTAGATCATGAGACATCAGGGACTGATATTTTGGGAATGATCCAAATCAGTGCCCCATGTTGTAGAATAAATCTGCCTCCAAATCCTGGGTGTCCTTTCGGTATTACTGTTTGCCATAGCAGTGGAGCTTTCCATAGCTTGAAAGGTACGAATAGGTAAGTAGATGTCACCAGACAGTGAAAGAAAGCATGTGACATAAAGAAGAGACAAAACAGATAGAGAGAAAATTTCTCAAATGAAATAGTAAAAGCAAGGAAAAAGAGGAAAAAAAAAAATCTCCTATTCTTAAAAGGTGAAGAAAAAAAACTGGGGTGG